ACATCTGGTGAAAATTTCATGTCATTAGCACCTCTAGTAATATATTTACTGAGAAAAATGGTGACGTGTTCAATACTTATTTTACCCGCTGTGTGTGATTTTCTGTGGTTGCTCAGAAGTACTAAGAATCAGGTCCCAATGTGCCCTCATTGCCATCACCTGGGATATAAGAAGCCCAAAACCAGAGTCAGAAGCAGAGTAATATGTTTTGCATTGGCAGAGAAGACAAAGCTCACATACTCAACTCACCAACGCTTTTTCCTAATAAATGTGGCAACATTAAAGGCAAACTAAACAAACTTTCCAATGAGGTGAAATTTATTACCAAAAAGCATTGTTACAACAAATAAATAATCAATCACACACACATTTCTTTACTTTTTGTGCACATAAACTATACCACTTCATGTCTTTGAAGTTGGTGTCACGGTTGTATAGATTTGCAGAACCCAGAATGCAGGCAAAAAGACTAGAGGGATGCCAAAATAGATATTTATTAAACAAAAGGTGCTGACAAGGCAGCCAGAAATGCTACCTACAAAAGAACCTTGGAACGTGGAGGAACACGCATGAGAGAACRCAGTGTAGACGTGAAAACCTGTACAATGCTGATCTGCTAAACTGACGAAGAGACAGTATTATAAAGAGACACTAACCTGGGGGACAAACACTTGGGGTAGAGGATCAGGTGAGGGTGGCTGTGACTGGCTGGAGAAACAAAGTCACTGTAAGTGATACAAAGTAAATCTAGTAGAAAACACAAATCCTAACAGTTGGGCTGWTGGTGTGTCAGCAGATGAGCAGCAGTTTCAGTTTAACCTAAAAGCAGTGTGTACACTGAGGCTGTCTCAATTCAGGGGTCGATAGGCCGGTTGCGTCACCCCTCTGTAGGCTATCCCAATTTGTGGGCGCCTACTAATGCGGCCAACAAATACGGCCCACAAAACCCCCAAAACGTAATCTGCATCTGAACATCCTACACGGCCGACAATGTCACAGGTTTCATTGTGCTGTCAGCAAACTAAACAGAAAAACCAAGACGGCAAAGTTTTTTTTGTTTGTTTTTTTATGGCAAAGTTTGGAAATTAATCACAGACTAAAGAATTTGTTTTAAATGTTGGTTTCGCAGCTTAGCTGATTAAATTTTCGCCTCAACCAGATTTTAAGTACAGTGCAATTACAAATACTGATACTGGAGCTACACCCAAGTTCTTAATGTATTTTATTTATTTACGTGTAATGTTTTTTAAAATACAGAATTTCGTGAAGTTATACCTCCCATAAAAAAGATGCACATGCATGTTACAACTTTCGTTGCTGTTAGATGTTTTATTATTTATTGTTGATATTCATTTTTATTGTCTAGATGGACTACACATGCAAATTATTATAAATCTAGTGCAATGCATCAAATGTTTTTATGTTGTAATTGCAAACTGTCCCGATTAAATAAAACTGTAAAAACAAAATGTAAAGGCGTGTGAAATAAAACGTATGGTAACGGGGTAGAGCGTGGTCACACTAACTTCAGAAGATAAGACCATCTCATTTCACAGCCGTTATGCTCCGCCTAAACAGGTTACATAGTGTGGCCTCAGTGGGCTCTGTGGGCTGTGGTCTACATGGGCTGCAACCCCTGAATTTAGACACAGCTTGAGCTTTTTTCCAAATTTGTGTCACCTCTTATAGGTTTGAAGCCACCATGATGGAGGCCTTAAACCAGCTGGTCCTGTCCAGAGTGTTGCTATGTGGGCTCCTTCTCCACACAGTGTCCCACCGGGGACTGGGAACTGGGGAGACAGTTAGAACAAAGCCCAATTTCATCATCATACTGGCAGATGATATAGGCTGGGGTGACCTGGATGTTAACCAACCAGAGAAGAAGACAAACAACACACCAAACCTTAACCGGATGGCCCAGGAAGGACTAAGGTAGATCATTTATTGATTTAATATACCTTTTGTGAGACAAACAAATTCATTATGTCATCAAAGTAAACATGTTGCTGGTCTTCTGATGAACTTGTATCATTTATATAAATATTCTGCAACCAGACTGACAGACTTCCACTCCCCTGCATCAACATGTTCTCCGTCCCGCGCTGCAATCCTTACAGGCCGATATGGCCTCAGAAACGGAGTGATACATAACTTCGGCGTGAATTCTGTGGCTGGTCTGCCCCTTTCTGAAATCACCTTTCCCCAGCTGCTGCAGCAGGCAGGTTATTACACCGCCATGATCGGGAAGTGGCATCTTGGGCACAACGGACCGTACRGTCCGACTAACAGAGGTAAAAGTTGGAGCTTAACACTGTGATCACTCTCCACTGTTCTTGGCACTTTGCATGCTTGTTATGCTTGTTTCCAATGTCCTGGAACCCAATTAGTATTGTCCTCTGTTGTTCACAATATTACTGATGGTATTTGTTTTGTTCTTTCTGTCTGAGACATTTAATTATATTCTAACACTTGTAATTTATTTGTGCAGTCAAATAATAAAATCCTTGTATATGGAGAGTTAGGAGTGTCTTTTTACATCCCTGTTTTATTGCTTTGAGTACCTCTCATTGGCCCTTATTTCCTTCTGATAAATTAGTGGTCCTCTGTGAAGCAGTTGTGTTATTCCTTTTTTTTAGTTTACAGTGAGTGGGTAACTTTAACCAACCAGGAAACATTCTTTTCTAGAAATTAATGTGTTTAGCAGAAAAAGCTGGGCAAGTGTTTGAGTGACTTTAGCAAGAGTCATGTTATTGGAGGTTAATRTTCATTGATACATGAACAAAGCGAAGGCGTTCACTTCAACAGACTGCTGTAGCTCAAAATGCCTAAAAGCTGAATGCAATTAGCCTTAAACCAGGGGTGTCAAACTCATTTTCACCGAGGGCCACGTGAGAGTTATGGGGCCCTCGAAGGTCCACTTGTAATGAACTTTGATGTTTCGTGTTTAACTTTGACTAAACAGAGTTTTAACACGTCCTCTTTTAAACACTGATAAGAACTAAGTGTATGACTGACTAAATCTGTAATAAATACAGAAATATTATTAAAAGTAAAACTAATAAAGTTTTACTCACTGATGAGTTTCTAGTGAGTAGCTGCATTATGGCAGATTTAGTTTAAGTTTGATGGTGACTTTAAAGCAGCTTATTTTCAGACATTAGTACTGTGCTAACCAACTAAATTGCTCAGTTACTTCAAGCAACAGCTCAGCTAATTACGTAAATAACCTCTCCTCGTG